CGATCGACGAAAGTGACAATGACACCTTTCCTAGTTCTAGATCGGTTTAGGATCGAGACAAAAATGTCTTCACAAATAAAAAGTAACCATACAAAAAATCCATTTTCAGCCAAAACCATTATAAAAAGTTGCTTTTCTAATAGAGAATCTTTTAATTTTGAAAAAATTAGATGAAAAATAAGAATTCCAATGAATTAAAAAGGTAGAAATCGCGTAAGGTTTGACTCGACTTTTCAACTGTACAGTGAGCTATCAACATTACCCTCCCCGCGCCACACAGTCGAGGAACCCATTACGTCACATACATTTCTGCTGCGCCCGTGTAGTTGAGTTCGCAACAACTTTGCGTGGTAATGCCGCGTGATCCGAGAGTGGGGGAAAAGCTTGCAGTTTTCGGTAAATTAACAAAAACGGAAACTCTATAAAAGTCATTTTGATTAAGCAGACATTAGATGCAAGGGTTTATATGACTATTTAATTTAAAGAAATATTTAAAATCACACGTATCGAGTGACCTATCGCTCGTAAATTTTAGTGGTTTTTCGCTCTTGTGAACTAGGAAATTCCGGAACTAGGAAAACGACTTACGGTACAATGGGCGGAGTGGGTAACAAAATTAGCTGCCGATCTCCGAATTCAAGTTTCATGTATGACCGCGGGACCGGGTTTTCATCGGCACGATGGTTTTCCATGAAGTCTGTCCTTCAGTAAGAAATTTCACAGACATTTTATGCAAGAATGTTTGTTCCTAATTTATCTACTTTTTTACGGGTACTTGGCCCGGAAAAATGGAACCAGATTTTGAAATCGACGGGCGGGTACCCGGCACAGGCCTATACTTTCTTGGTAACATAGGCCTAATGAACATCATCATCCCAGGTAATTTAGAACAACACCAAGATATTTCATACCGGTGCAATTTCAGCTCATAAAATGATATGGGTTTTTAGTTAGGCCTATGCCCCCAGATATCCCGGAGAAATTTTTTGAAAGAAATCCCAATGAATTGGGACGGGGCCCATACGACTGGGGAGTATTCATAGGGCACTGTTTACTCTAGTATAGTAGTAACCGACATGGCCAAGTTCAAATGTTTGACTAAAAAAACAGCTTACTTCTTTAACACGTCCAAGTAAACACACTTCGTTTCCTTGGTATTTGGACAACATCGATCCATTTATTCGAGGTTTCGGCTGTCCTGCCTGATCCATGTCTTCTGGAAACGTTGACGAGTAGGCCTACTACTAGTAGTACTCGGACTCGGGCTTCAGATCTGAGGCTGAGACTACCCTGATTTGTCTAATGCGCGCGCCCTGGCCTGACACGTACGTCTGACGAAACATTTCAAAGTCAACGCTTTACAGCAAAACTCGTATATAGCGCCGCGAGCGGCGCAAGATGGCGAACTTCACAGTGAATACGTAAAACGTTGTAATTGACCGTATTAACGGCGTCCCCAATTTCAGTCATATTCCCCAACGTAGTGTATTTATTGGGAAATGTTAAATTCGAAGAACCAGACTATATTCTACGATTTCATTCCGACCCATATGCAGCAAGGTATGAGACGGAGAGAACCCCCCCCCTGCTTTTTGTTGGTCATTGTCTCGCAGGAATCTGGGGAATTCCTTTCAGACATCTTGGGGGGGATGTGTTAAGTAACTATAGTCTGGAATGTGTATAGGGATTGGACATGTTGGGGGGTACCCCTCGGTCTCATTTCTTGCTGGGTATAATTCACAGCGTCGGTTTAAAATTTATACTGTACGTTCAGGAATACGACTAAAATTGGGGACGCTGTGAATACGGTCTAATTGCATGGGCGCCATTAAAGCAAACGATACGCCTGCGCAATGCACAGTAGTGCAAAGACGCAGGCGCCGCGGCAGGCATGTGCACCTGGTGAGCCTGCGCCTAAGCACAACCGTAAACTGCGCAGGCGTATCACTTGCTCAAATGGCGCCTATGGTAATTACATCCTTTGGGCAGAGTTATCCACCTTGCGCCTTTGGCGCTATATGATCTTTGCTTCACAGTCACTTCGCCCCATTTTCGCGTCGCCCCTAACCACTTCGCCCCTTATTACTTCGCCCCATCCCCCCCACAACCTCCCCGGCCCCCAATGGGCCCACGGCCACTTTGTCGCCCCACGGACGTCATAATAAAAAAATCTAGACTCAGCTAATTGGCTGAAGCAACCGGAAGTGGCTTGGCGGCCATTTTAACGAGCCGAAAGTTTGTTAACAAACCAACGCCGAAATTTCAGATTTTTTTTGGCCTGTAAACTTAATTTCGGGACACTAGATACCTCAGGGTTGAGGTAAAACCAGGTACGTGTATATGATACTCGTGTCTGTTTGATCTGCAAGAAAAGTGCCGATTTGAGTATGAATTTCACTACTGATTAGTGATAAAGCGTCGTGCGTCGCCGCCGCCATCGATCTCCATGCTTTGCGCTTGGCGCTTGCCATGAATATGATAAATTGTCGCTTAGTTAAACGGGAATTCAACACGATAACATGACCAGACTTTCCAACAGATTTTCTCAGAGAAATCGATGAAAGAGCACTTCGTGAATCATGATGAATGTTATGAAATTCAAGCAACATGAGCAAAGACATGAAGAGGGCAATGGGAACGATAACGTTTTAGGACGCCGTACATATACAAAGAAAACAAATTTCACTTTTATAGTTTTACAAACAACTCACTTAAATTTGATCATGGTGATTTCCTCTTTAAAATTATATTTGTGAAAAGGGGTCAGCATGGTCGGGGTTTTCATCTCCAACTATATCCTCACACATCATGTACATACTTGGAGTCGTACGTGGCTCTCTTTTGACATGTCTACTCTTATCTGTCACCAGCGACAAGTAAAGACAAATTTCAAAAGAGAGCCATGTGCAGCCCCATGTGCGAGACTAATTTTCAATAGGGATGGCCCAATGCCCAAGTAGAGGTGTTTATGCAGGATCTGAAGAAGACATCGGTTAAACTAGGTAAAATGGCATGAATCATGGCAAACGAAGATATGCACAAGAATGGGGCCCAATTTCACGGTGCTGCTTACCAAAAGTGAAAAATCGGCACTTACCATAACAGAAAATTCTGTGCTTACGGCGAACGTATTTCATGGGTTAGCATGGAATTCTGGCTTGTGTGCATGCATACATCCTGGCAACGAAGGATTCTGTGTTTAAAGGCTTAGTGCAGAAGTTTTCTGCTAGCGGAGTTAGCGCAGAATGGAGATCGTAAGTGCAGAATTCGGTGGTTAGCAGCCCCATGAATTTGGGCACAATTGACAAGTATCATCTAGCATTGACCTAGTCTGTGTAACTTGTTTGAGTCTAAACCGCCTCTGAGAGGCTGTTCAAGACCCAATGTTGAAAGAGTTCTTGCGGCCTGGAAAAGTCATGGAATTTTTATAACACTGTGTATGATTTCTATCATTAGAAATACATGTATGTGCATTTTATTCACAACTTTAAAAGTGTGAATAGTCCAAACATTATGTTATTGGGTCATGGATTTTCATAATTTGGTTGTAAAAAAGTTGTGGAGTTTAACTGTCCTTTAGGTGCAGGAACCCTGTGTTAAAAAAGGCGATTCGTAGGGTCTAGGTTACTGACATGTGACAACTCTTGAATTGAAACTTGCAGTTGCTGGATCTGATGACCAGACTATAGGAATGGCATGATGTGGCAGACCAACCTGGCAGGTGTTGAAGTTTTCCAGAAGCGAGTGAGGGAATTGTATTATTTTGTCCTGTCAAAATTTGTCCAAGCAAGGGATTTAAGGATACAAGAACAATTACTCAAGTTCAATAAGTCATTTGTGTTTAAAATACAGAAGAGAACTTTGGGTCCTAAAGCTAAGAAATCCCAAGATAATAGGCTTCCCGATGACTACCAGAATTAGTCAGTGAAGAATGGCAAAATACATGTTTTTGACCCTATAGGCAACAAGCTACATACAGAAAGTTGTACATGTATTGTGTTGATGCTCTCATTGATGGACTGTAATAGGACATCCAGGTAAGGGTTCACGGCAAGTGCTGTGTGGGATAATTAAAGTGAGATTATTGCATTCCCACTGAACTGAAATATAATGAGTCTGGATAACCTCTCTCTTTTTTTAGACTCATATTCAAATTTAAAAGCATATTTAAACTGGCATTCCTACAGATATTCTAGATGAAATCAACTGTTTTGTGTATTTGTAATGTGTATTTGTATTGTGCACATTCTTTTCTGTTTGCATGTATTTGGTTTGATTTTGAAACAGTCTGTACATTTTAATCTTTTAATCATCATATTCAGGCAAACAAGAATAGTGACTACTTACAGAAAAAGGTCGAAGCCAGTGTCGTCTCTTATTGTGACTAGTGATTTTCTCAGAGACATCTAGCCCTGATTACTTCTGTGGAGGTGTTGAGGTAAGATTACTGACTTGAGAATAATATGAGTTTGGTCAGCTTTTTCCTTATTGGATTGTTTCTTATGTCATCATTCTGCATCCTGGTGGCATGATGGAGTCTGATTTTGCAGTAACATTGTGATATGTGGCATATTAGCCTGAAAAAGTGGTTGTTATCTGGCTCTACGTCTAGCATTTGTTCATAGAGACTTTCAAATGTGGTGGTACCCACTTCAGATAGCACGGAACAAGAGATGGCATTCTTTATTCTAGTTTGTCTGGGCATTTTTCCCTCAGTGACGATCAGAAGCCTTTTGATGTAGCGCTCAGTTGCCTCACATATCTTCACTACACTGCTTGTGGGGAGGATGAGACCACCTCTGTTTTTTTGTTTTGATGAGGGAATATGAGGGGGATGGATCCTCACTGTGCTGTCAATGGTTAATGCATGTAAACATTCTCTACATTTCAGGGCCCGCTTCACCATCTTGACAACGTAGCCAGCGATGTATCCAACACAGGATTTGGCAAAAGCAGATAGGGAAGCAACATTGGGAATATCTGCATAGTCAATATCATCAGTCACTAGTGATTGCAGCTCCAGGTTATACCTTCTTGCAACTAGCATGTCGTGACTTTCTTCGGGAACAGGCTGCTTCACTACATTCTTGAAGGATGCTGCTGCAAGAATCCTTGTGGCATCCTGAGCTGAACAGTTTCCCTTGTTCACTTTCACATTATGCCGCATCAGGAGACGTTTGTATGCCGATGTAAACTGTTGGACAGTTGGGTTGTTATTAGAGCCACATGACAGGCGGATTGCACCAAAGAACAATTCAATGTGGTCCTGACTTAGCTTGTATGTCAGTAGGTACTTCAGTGGCGAATTTGCTGCCTGAACATACATTGTGTAGAGATTTTTCCCACTCATGATGCATGCCATAAAGCCAGTGAATGATGTTCTGTGGCGCGTTGAAGTCATAACCTTCTTATCACTATTTGTAACCGTAGCAAGATAGTTGTAGGTAGAATTTAAGAATGGCAGAAACAGCCTTTCATGAGCAGATATGAGTGGTAGCTTGTATTTCCTTACTAGTGAGTTTCTGGAGTTCAGGATATCAAAAAGAGATCCAATATCTCAATGAAGTTACATGTTCCCTCACTTCCTTGAAACTCTGGCAATTTCAGGCTCTCACGGCAGTTCTTTATCGCATCTGCCACACTTGCACTCAAAGTCTGTGCAGCTGTGTCCACCTTCATCACTTTTTTGGCCATCCTATATGCTTTCGACGAAGTTTGTTTCCCAGCCCCTCCTTGTTCTGTATACCATACAGTCTTTGAATGTACTTCCATTCAATTGGTGGATTCTCTCCATCCTTCAGCACTTTCAAGGTCCCTATGCAGTTCCTTGCCAATTTCAACATGTGGCAAGCATCCAGCATCACCCACACCTTCTGGCCAGGATTTGCAGGATGGGTAAATGATGAGTCCATGTTGTCTGGACAAATGCTTGCACCTACATGTACCTCATTCAGCATGGTAATATGTGCTGAAGGTCCATCATAGGTCAGGGAAATAACAGACACTCCAATTTCCTGTCATTTCATAAAGCATTGAATTACAAGATTTACTTGGTCTTTGCCTGTCAAACTATTTATCATGAAATGAGCAACAAGGACCTTCCAGCTTCCATTAATGGCCACCAACATGAACACTAAGGCATTAGTTGCTATTGGAAGACTGTCATTTTCTACTCCATTGCCAGTGTCCCCATACCCCAGGATTTTTTCTCCACACATTTCCACCGATTTCATGAGTGACATTTCATCAGTGACATTTCATCAAGCATTAGTGCACAGAGGGTTTCTTTCCCTTCCTCCTTTTCTGCCTGAAATCTGGTCCCCAAAGCCTTGAATACAATTTCCTTAAATCCAGGAGACCCGTCAGTTGCACTGTACCACTTTCTTAACCTGGAAG